TAGTGAGTGACATTGGGGGGGGGAGTTGGTAAGTGACATGGGGAGAAACGTTTATGAGTGACATGGGGGGGGCAAGTTGGTGAGTGACATGGGAAAAGGGGACAAGTTGGGGAATGACATGGGGGGGGGTAGGGGACAAGTTGGTGAGTTACAAATATATACAGTTGTATTAATAAAATAGCATACTTTCAAATGTTTTTATCTTTCCATTTAATTCATAGTAATTTCCTCTGGTCCATGTGTACATAGCCAATCGATGGCAGGGAGCGATGACGTCAAACGGGTCCACCATACTTCCTCTTTTCTTCCCTTAAAATAAAGATTTTTTTCCTAGCGGTCGTATTTCTCTGGACATACGCATAGTTTATTAATTGAAATATCTATTTACTCGACCCTTTTCTCTAAATATCTATTTACTCGACACATTGCTCTAAATAACTATTTACTCGACACATTTCTCTAAATTTCTATTTACTCGACACATTTCTCTTAAAATCTATTTACTAGACACATTTTTCTAACTATGTATTTACTCGACAGTTTTCTCTAATTATCTATTTATTTCTCTAAATGTGTTTACTTGAAGAGACTCTTATCTTTCCCAGGGCGGTATTCTTTTACCTCCACCCCCGCTGGTCACGTGGTTTAATCACACCGGAAACACAGATTAAATTTTACCGACTGTTTCTTATCGTTGTCAAGGTCGAGTTTCTGTAGACGAAGATTAGGTAGGCCAATAGGCGAAAACTTTCGAAAATGAATTCGATTCAAACTTAAGTGTAAATTTGGACCAAAAATATAATTTAAATAATTTTCAAATTCCCATTAACCGATAGAAACACCAATTGGGGTCGTGACATAGTAAACACCATCTTGGGGTCGTGAAATGGTAAAATCCATCATGGGGTCGTGACACGGTAAACACCATCTTGGGGTCGTGACACGGTAAACACTAGCTTGGGGTCGTGACATGGTAAACATCATCTTGGGGTCGGGACATGGTAAACACCAGCTTGGGGTCGTGACATGGTAAACATCATCTTGGGGTCGGGACATGGTAAACACCATCTTGGGGACGGGACATTGTAAACACCATCTTGGGGTCGGGACATGGTAAACACCATCTTGGGGTCGGGACATAGTAAACACTATCTTGGGGTCGGGACATGGTAAACATCATCTTAGGGTCGGGACATGGTAAACACCATCTTGGGGTCGGGACATGGTAAACACCATCTTGGGGTCGGGACATGGTAAACACCATCGTGGGGTCGTGACATGGTAAACATCATCTTGGGGTCGTGACATGGTATACATCATCTTGGTGTCGTGACATGGTAAACCTTAATGTAATTGAAGGGAGAGAATTAGAATTAGAAATATGACTGTTGATTTGTCCTCCAGTTATCCAATGCTGTTGTTTTGATCGCGTGATTAAGTTGTAGCTGTACCATGTTGCTATTGTCAACATTGAACCTGGGTGTAGGCGAACGCCGTACAAAGATAAGGCGATAGTCTCGGGGCTATATAACAGTGGTCAGTTGGATCGGGGCTTTAAAATTCCGGAGATAACATTTCACCATGAGGTAATGTAGACAGTGCCGGAAA